TATGATTCCTAAAAGGCTGCTGTATATAACAAAAGCAGCCTTTAATACCTTAGAATCTGATCAGGTCAGTGGAAAGCAGCTGGATTCAAAATAAAGCTCCCTTACAGAAAATCAGCAAGACTACCAAGCGACTGTGTAGTTTTCTGCTTGTGTGGTTCTATGTAAGTTGCAACCACTGGTGAAAATTAAAGGTCAACACCAAAGCATAATATACCCTCTTAGATATTCTTTATTTTTAATGTCTAAAAGACCTTTTTCAAAAAGAGAATGAGACCCCTGTTGTGTAAGACTGGCTACAAATGCAACATAGTTGAATTCAGCTATGATTCTGGGAAAACAACTGAAAGCAAAAAGAGCTTCAATGATATTCAATACTCAGGCTTTTTAAATGGGAGGAGAAAGGCTCTTATGCGAGGCTGAAATTCTAGCCTCACTGTAGGTATTTTTGTACATGGGAGTGAAGCAGAGGCACTATGACATACAAACATTGTGTAACCGGGTCAAAATGTGCTGCTTAAATTGGATGGATTGTTTTGGGTTTTTGTTTATTTTTATTATTTCTTTAGGAATCTATAGCACCCGATTTCTGTCTTTCAATTTGGGCACAATAAAAGATGTTTCTCAAATCATTATATTTGTACTAATAAGTCAGACTTTATTAATAGACTCTCTCCAATGAGTTTTTCAATGCCCATGAAACACAAAGGAAACCTCATAAATACGGTCCTCATTTCATAGTGTTTAAATCACTTGTTATATTAAAGCATTTTATTCATGAATGGGAATATTATGAACAAGCAGAGCCATATAAATACTATTTCAATGACATTTGTATTTAATTTGCAGTATGATTCATCTACACTTTTTCTCTTTCAATTTGGTTTTTGCACTTCTTTCTCTGCACTGTCCTTCTTATTTGAGTCTAAAGGGGGAATACATTGATGTGTAGGTCCAACAAGAATATACTGTATGTCTGACACCGCTTTAATAACGTCCAACCTGCCAGGTTGGTTGTGTCAGTGCTGGCGAAACCTTGTTATCAGTTAGACACGGTCAAGACAGACATGAAGTTTTCACACAATCGCTCATCAAACCTCGTGCTATACTATCTCCCCTAAACATCATCCTTGCTGGTAGAATTAGATAGCTTTGCAGCCCACACAAACACCCTCTCTCTCACACACACACATACACACACATGCACAGACAGATCAAATCAATGGCTACCTTCCCCTACATCAGGAAGTACTGTACAGTAGGTGGCCAATGGAGGAGTCCGCCCACTCACAGGATATTCAATTGCACACATGTAGAAACTCATCCTCTCTGTATCTCACTCATGTTCGCCTGAGATCAACTACATTTACAGATACAGCTTTGGGCAAGAAGTGCTTGCGTGTGCACGCCCACACGCGTAGACCCGACATTGAAATATGCACACAAACCCTCCCTCTCTGTCACATGGAAACACTTTAGGATTTAAGCCACGCAGAGATGCTCAAAAGACACAGATAGATTTATGAATGAACTGTGAGGATATGTGCATTTCTGTCTTTTCTCAGAAATGTGCACTGAATATTTTACTTCAAGCTCAGTGAAAGATTTCATGTGATAAATATATGGATCTGATATTTGCAGACATGGTAATTGAGTACTGTTCACTCAAGTAAATCTATTATAGGCTACTTTGCACTACCTCTTGACGGCTGAACATTTCAAGGGCCCATATTACTACATGCATTAACAAGAAGTACTCTGAGAGCACAAACCTACCTCAAGGTAGCTCACTCTCTTTGCAGTATTTATTTTTCAGGGAATAATACTGTGTTTTGTATATATCGTTTTATTTTCTTTGTTCTTTTTAAATGTACTTTAAGAGGTTTGCAGTGCGGTAAAAACAAGTACAAAGTGCAGACTTTTGCTATGTAGGAGTTGGTAATGGATATTAGGTATTGATTTGTAAATGAGTGGACATGAATAACTTAAGTTTATTATATAATGCAGCATATTTCTAACTAACTAGGCAGCTCATCCTCGTCCTCTTGACAACACATTTTTAAAGATATGATATATTTTGGGGTCAGCTTGAAAGAAAGACAGATGGGAAATGTAAAAATGAGATCAGACTTCAAATGTGACGTAACATTTGGATATGGCCTAAAATGTGATATTTAGAATCCCCATACAAGAGTATCATTTGGTAAATGTTGCCAATAGAAACAAAGGCAGTAGAATTTTAATTTTAAAGATAAAATATAATTTATGAAAGTTTGATCTTAGTTTCCTTTGAAGAAGCAGTCGGAGGTCCAAAGGAACATGATGTTTAGAATCCCCATATGTCTATATACTGTCAGTACAAATGTTAGCAGTAAGAAACATATTTTTAAACGGCTATAGCATTATTATCACTTTGACCTTCAGATCATCTATCTATTGCCCTTGAAGGAGAGGTCAGAGGTCAAATATGGCATGATGTTTACAATATTTATGTTGACAATCCACACCACACTCCTAGTTGACCTTGAACAACTAGGAGTGTTCAAGGTCAAAATTAAAATTTGACTTACATCAGTGGATGTAAGTCAAATTTTAATGAATTGTTAACATGACCCAACCTTTTTTAGAATTCATTCAAAACTTTTAAAGCTATCATGTTTCCAGGCAGACAGAATAACATGCACACATGCAAATGATACCAGTTCGCATTGCTGGAAACTGCAGCTGGTGGAAACCAGCTGCAGTTTCTGCTTTGTAAATAGATGCTTCATCGCTAATAATTCATATTGTACTAAAATTAACAAATAAACGATTAAGCTTTATTTTTATATCTACACCAAATGCCACTTTAAAGCAATGTTGCTTTTTTGTTGTACTTTATTTTGAATATTATATTCTTTTGATTCCACTGAGATAAAATGTTAATACAGGTGGACAGACTACAGTCACGTTCACATCAATTTAGAATCACCAGTTAACTTATTCAAACTAAATGCATCTCTTTGGACTGTTGAAGGAAGCTGGAGTACCTGGAGAGAGAGTCCAGGGAAACATGGGGAGAACATGCAAACTCCACACACCAAGGCCCGGGTGGATGGTGGAGTCAACCGCATGACCTTTTGCTATTAGACAACAGCGCTAACCACAGTGCCACTGTGCTGCAGCGGAAGAGAATGGATGGATGGATAGACTATTACCCATAACAGAACACCTGTATAAAGTGGCATTGCTCTTTTTAAAGATCTGAGAGCTTGCACCCATTGATATTGGAATTCTACATCCTTTGAAAATAAGAAAGCATCAGGTAAGAAAGCATGCAGTCGAGGGTGCAATGAATATGAAGGAGTAAAAAAGGAGGGGAAAGGAGGTAGAATATTAATCACAGATCCTCAGTCCATCTCCTCCTCCAGGCTTTGCACCAAATAGAGAGAAATATTCTCATTAGGACAATGAGAAATACATATATCAAATATAGCTGTCACTTCTACTGTGGAGGATCTGTAGGGGAAAAAGTGTGTCACAGGCAGTTCGTCTTGTACATGTGCTGTGTAGCTTTTGCAGAACAGATTTATCCCATGTGCAGCAGCTTTTCTTCAAAATTAATAACATGTAATGGATTCTTAGGAGAGGAAGAGGATTGATGAATGTAAAGCCAGTGTAAGAAAATTCATTGTGTAGTGTATTTTTAGAAGTCTACATTACAAATATCGCATCTTAGTTCCACTGCAGTTTCACATAGCAGAGAGTCACACAGAAGAATGTTGCTGAAACAGATGGTTTCCTGGTTACCTAAGTGGGAAAGGTCTGCGACACTTTCCAGCCCTTTTCTTACCCTTGTGTCATGTAGTTGCTGTATGTCTATTTATTTATTTTTGAAGAAGAGACGATGGCACAGATTTGAGCTTGAAAAGGTGGTGAAGGAATGGTTGACACTAATGGTGTGTGATGGTGGAAATTGGACCATGATTGGTAGCGAGACGTCAAGCTGACAGTGTGTATGTCTTCTGTGGGACCTTTCTGGTAGTGATGAATTGTTGTCTGACTCATTGTTATTTCAGGTGATGAAACCTGTCAAGATGGGGTGGCCTGGAAGCTAGACGGAACAAGTTGACAGAATAGGCTGTGAATAGAGTCAGAAGTGATATGTTTACTTTCTTCCACCTTAGTGTACAACAAATGGGGACAGTTTAAATAGTAATGGTGGTGGAAACATGCATACCTGTTTTACAGGCTATTTTGTAGTACAGTGTTGCTGTCATGTTAATTCAGGTCTTTTCAGGTTGATTCACACATAGTGCCAATTCAGGACAATAGTTGCTTTATATTATATTATATTATATTATATTATATGATTAGGACATAGAACAGGAAATGTGTTTTTTGACCTGCTGTGCTAAGTGGTTTCCTGTTAGTTTGCCCTAATGTGTAGGAGAAATATCTCTGCACATAACACTCAATATTTGCACACATATTAATAGATGTTAGGAAAATTAGCTCACTTAAATAGAATATAATAGAAATGGAAAGGTTAGATGGTTTTGAGCTGATAAATCTTTCCCTTTATGTTCCTGAATATTTAGATTTATACTAGCACTAGTAAGAATTCCATTTTTAGATCCCTTTAAGTTACAGGGCAATGATGTGGGCAATACCTGATCATGTCGAAGAAACAATCATTTCAGCTAAACCACCTATGATTAATATAAAAATTAGATGAGAATAGTAATAAAAACATCCACTTAGTTCATAAAATATTGAAAAGGAAACCGTGATTAGCCTGCTTCTGTACTGAAGCATGGCTGTAGTAAATGCATTTACCACCCAGCGCTAATTGCCTCAGGTGTGCTGCTGATTGCAGCGTTAGCTTAGCAGCGAACGGCCACATATTTTGCTCATATTTTTGATTTCTTTAGAAAATTTCGTCAACTTTCTTTCTTTTCTTTTCTTTTGTGTGTCTGTGGTTTACTTATGATTTGTTTCCACTTGTATCACCGTGTAGAGCAATGTATACAGCCCTTAACCTCTCGACTTCGGACGACTTCAACATGTCAGAGTTTGACTCTCAGAGACAGCAGGAGCTCTCCCACCGCTCCGTCAAAATAAGCATAATAATCGTTTTGGGCGTCGTGGTCACGTTGGGAAACATTGCAGTTCTCCTAGCTATTACTTCCTCAGTGTCCGGCTGGTCGAGAAACTCTCGGTACTTTCTCCTCTCGCTCACTGCAGCAGACTCTGCGTTCGGACTGCTGGTCATGCCCTTGAATCTGTGGGTGAGTCTGCTAAAGGACTACACTGAAGGTCCAGATGGTTTTTGTCACGTTGTGGCCTTTTGCAATGCCACCGTCTACTCCACCTGCATGTACACACTGGCCATGATAAGCCTGGAGAGGTACATTGCGGTGTTTTACCCGCTTCAGTACTCAACTCTGCTGACAAGGAAAAGGACGCTGTTTCTGATTGCCTTCGCCTGGTGCTTTCCTCCCATTTTACTCTCGCCGATATCATTACCAGATGGCATCATCCAAGTTCATTTTTCCACCGCATCACTGGTCTGCAACCCATCTTACTCTACAAATATTGGATACTCCCTAAGCTTGACATGTGTAATATTTTTCCCTTGCTCCATCATCATGACATTTGCAAACCTAAAAGTCTGGTGTGCAGCCAAGAGACAGAGGTTAAAACTGCGCAAATATGACAGCGCGCGGCGCAGTAGGCTCAATGTGCCTTCCAGAGTGCTTGTGCCTGTGATGGGAGCCTACTACATCTGCTGGACTCCCTGCATGGCAGCAATGATCTACAATGGTAAGCAAAACATCACTAGATATGTAAAGTGAGTGTGTGAGGATGGTGGATGATTTTCTTCTACCATCCTCATTTCATATATGAAGATATCCCATGTATTATAGTCGGTTTATGTCTATAATTGTGGCATTTACTGGGACAAAATATCTGAGAACTACTCATATAACTGGCTTATTTTGTAGCAAGCTTTGCTTTTTTAGGTTTAGATAGTTTTTGATTATATAAGCTTAACTGGAAGAGGTAAACTTCACAGGCACTTGTTTGTCTTGGTGTATTTTTTATTTGTGGTTTCAACGGCAGTAAGAGAATTCAAAAGTAAGTATTTGATTGTGTTTATTAAAAATTGTATTAGATGGCTATTGATAGGTACATTTCCCTTTTAAAAAAATATTTTTTGTTGTTATTATTATCATTATTGTAAATAAAAAGCTGATTTGGGGCCAGTTATATGACTCAGACCTTTTTTGACTTTTCTCATGTACCCCAGCCATGTGCTGTCTTGGAGTAGTCACGACTGAAAAGTCACAGCTGAATATTTTTAGAAGTCAAGACCTTTTCCAAAGAGTGCCGTAAATGATCTGATATTGGATGAATATCCTGTGAAACGGAGCCGACGGTTTAGCTTAATCTTTAAAGTGTGCTGCTGTCTAAATGCTAGTTTCAGTGCAGTTTCCTCCTGATCAGTGAACTTTGTATTTTCAGGTCAAGACTACAAATGTTAGTTTGATGGGTTATATCATTGCTTTCAGGGGTAAGGCAAGCACCTCCAAAGCAGACTTTTTTAGTTTCTCTCATAATGCCAAGTGAAATATCCCCAGCTCCGTCTCAGGAGGTTCCTTTTGCAGTTATACTAACACTAATTATACTAACACTTTTCGGAATTTGTGTCGCCCCATGAAGGGCCTCTGGCGTGAAAATTAGACAAAGAAAACATACAGAGCTACTTGCTCTGTAAAAAGGGAGCAGGTCAAAGTAGCCGCTGTCTTTTGCTAGGTACGTTGTTTTCACTTTGTTGATACTTGCCTTAACACTCATTGTTTTCTGCCTTACAGCAGTCACAGGTAGAAGTATACCAGAGTGGATTGAGTTTGTAGTGGTCTGGCTACCAACTTCCAATGGTTTCCTCAACTGCATCTTCTATTTCTGGATAAACCGAAACTTTCGCAAGAAATTCTGTCTAGTCCTTCAGAAACTAGCTCTGGCCCTCTGCCCTGAATTGGCCAGCACCTTTGGGTGTTGCACCACATCAAAGATGCAGTTTGCATCAGGAATTTTGGATAACAACAACAGTGTCCATGGGCGTTCCTCCAGTGTGTCATCTACCTGCACCCTGCTGTCTGTGGCTTAAGACCTAAAGAGCACCACCGGCATGGCAACAAACATGGCCAGCAACCTCTGTACTGTGTTGCATTGTCTGACTGAGCTAGACAACTGAAGCCATGTTTTGACATAGTTCCATACAAGGTAATGAGGGTGAGAACTAAGCTTTAAAAGGGTCGCAGTATGAATGATTTGGTTATGATAGCAAACATTTAAAATTTCCTCTCTGCAGATTAAATCCAAATTTGCGATATCTTGATTGTAATATATTTTTATTTTTTATCAAACTTCAGAATCAGTGTCCAGTTGATTGGAGCACAGGATGAACTTAGAACGGCTTTGGATTTTTTCTTTTACTTATTCACACTGCTGCAGAGATATAATTTACAATTAGAGACAGTGTCTTTAAAACCACCTTTTATTTGTTTTATAACCAACCAACAAAGTTCTCTGTGCTCCCAAAAATTGACATTACATACAGTGATATAATCAGTCTTTCAGTGTCAGCCTGTTTAAACCTGTTGCACAGGTCACGATTAGCGAATTAGTTCGTTTTAAATTCTTTCTATATGAAACATTTCTGAACATCAGTATCTGATAATAAGCACACTGAAGGACTGAAACCCTCTACCTCTTCTTCAATTTAAACTGTGCATCAAATACCTTGGCATATAACAGCTTGGAGAAACTAACCTTTAAGTCACAGCTTTTCAGTGGGTGCCAGGAGGAAAGTAATTAAGCATCTATACTGTAGAAAGGTCACCACATTTGTGCTGGGAAGAGATAACTTGGATAAGTTCTGAGGCTATGGTTGTTTGCTTTGAGATATTAAGTCTAAGATCTTCCTCACACTATCTGCACTAAAGTTTTTGTCATGTTATCGGTTTGTGTACATTTACAATGAATCGAGATTAGAATTCAGAAATTCTGTAACATTTTATGCAGTTAATTTTAGCCTTTAGGTTTTCTGCTTGAGTTACATCATTGAAGTTTGTGCAAGGGCAAAAGGAGGATCAAAAGTGTCACAAAATTGAAGTTAAAAAAAAAAAAATCTGAATAACGTAATATTAACCTTTTGTATGTATATCGTCTGTGATTTAAAAATTCCTGATTATAAAAGAATTTATGTATTGATATATGGATAATCTATGAAATAAAGCATGATGCCTGTGAGTTGTTTCTTTTCAAGTCTTCAGTTTGAGTTTGATATTTACAGATGTATCATTGCAGAACTGAAATAAAGTTAAAGTGAAAAATGTTTGCTGATCCTTTAGCATATATTTTTTTCTAGCTATGCGTGGTCTGATGCTCTACATATAGTCAGCATTGTTAGCTTCCAGTTAACATCTCTCTGCTTCTCTATGCTGTGGTATATAATAAATGCTAAACTGTACTATATGCTGTCAATGTTTTACCTGTTAATGTTTTTGTTTCAACCTATTGAAGTAGAGTAGCATTTTGCACTCGCTAGCTGTCTCACTCTCTCGCCCTGTGACAGCTGGGATAGGCTCCAGCGCCCCCCACCCCCACCCTAAAAAGGATCAGCAGAAGAGGATGGATGGATGGATGCATGGATACCTAGCTTTCCTCAGTAAGAGGACTAACTAATGAAGATACAAGTTTGGTTTGTTTGATATAAATTATGCATTTTTTAAATTTATTTTATTTTGGACGGTTAAAACAAATTAATGATGATTATGTATAGCCTAGTCTATTATTTCAGTGTGAATTCCTTGTTTGAAGTGGTAATATTAAAGCAGTATGGCAAACCTGGATGATTAACAAGCTCAAAATGAAATTTCTTGTTTGTGGTCATTAGATAAACGTTCTTTTCACCCAGAGAAGAACTCAGCAAGTTAGTCTATGCAGAAAAAAATGACACGTCATTCTATTTTGATAATATTTTCACTCTGTTTTATACTTCTGGGCAAATTTTTGAATAATATGAGATGGATTATGTTAATTGCTACCTACCAGTGTCATGTTAGATAACAGGTTGAGCTGTAGATCCGGAGCTTTAAAAAAACACGATCAAAAATGAGCAGAAAATGATCCTTTGGCTTATGCATAATAGATGGATACAAGTTCGACTGATATCATGCCCAGTATTGCTCATGACAAAGGGCACAATAATGAAACAACAGTTCGATACATGCATAATGAAGGGAGCAAACTGAGGCAGCTGCAAGTGGTCACATAAGTAGTTTTGCAAAGAATGATGTTAGAAAAAAAAACCAACATGACCTGATGAATCTCATGTCATGTGAAACCATCTCAGCATCTCAGACTTTGTCTCCATACGGCTCCACCTGAGCTGTCCTTCTGATAAACACATTTCTAATGTTGTCGATTTTGGTCTCTCCTAAGGAAAATCTTAACGTCTTCAACTTCACCGAATCCTGCTCGGTGTCTTTTTTACAGCACCGCTGAATCTAAAACATACATGATGGAGTCTCACTACCATCTCATATTGCTGCATAATACATAAACTCCGGCATGGGTGAATTTAGTGATTTCATCAGCAGGTGTCCTTCACAAAAGAATTAAGTTGTTCTTCAGCTAGAGTTGAATGTTTTTGATGAACATAGACAAGTTTTAAAATTTTAGAATTCTTTCTGACATTTGTTCTCTGCATGTTTTTGTCACTCATCTCTCTGTGCACAAGAGCAAGATTTTAATGTCCTTCTTTGTTAAGTCACACTAAAAACGTTTTCTATGAATATGTGACCCTTTCAGCTAACTCAAACCCTGTCAGAGATCAGGTGTATTCCCACATTACCCAGAAGTGATTTTCGTAGCGTCTGAGGTGTTTGCCAAGCTGGTCTCTTAAGACACTGAAGTGTTGTGCATTAGAAGCCTCGGCTCTTCTTAAGCCTTACTGCTGCCAGAAATAACAGGTGATTTGGTTTGGGGAATGGTGATTGTCTTAGGGATTCACACGCAGTATATTCATACAGACACCATATGTCATCTTATAAGAGTTTATCATTCTCTCTGGTCATAATTCCTGCCACAACAAGAAGTGGCTTCACTAAAATATCTAATATCTAGCTAGACAGAACACGAATCCCAATAAAGTCCAATGCATTGCTTCTATGGGTTTGTAAGTACAGTGCTTGAGACAATACTGTCAAAAGCTCCCTATTATAAAATTATTTTAATCTGTTGTTCATCTACATTAGACTCATTGCAGTTTTGTAAGCAGAATATTTTTACATTTTACTTTAAACTATTAACATTGTAAAGTCTTTAAGGGTATTACATGTTCAAACACCCTCTATCACACCCTGTTATTGTGTTTCTTTGCCCATAAACATTTGGAGATGTATGCTACAGAACTGTGTTTATGAAAATGAGAGAACAAGAGAGATTAATGATTTTAATATATTCTTTATAATGCTGTATCCAAAATATTAAACTGCATGTTTAATATTATGTAGGTCTCTAGTGTGCTGTCAAAATGTCTCTGAGTAGCGGAGAAATAGACTTGTGACCTCTGGGGATACCCTCATCTGGTATTGAGACATTGACAGCTGATCTATCGGGTATTATGGGTTGCTGGAGCATGCCGATATGGACTGGGTTTGCTCCAGTGCATCCCATGTATGCTCAAATTCGAAGATGGTGAGGTTTATAAGCCAGGTTAACACCTTGGATCCCCCTTGGGACAGGTGCATGGTTGGCATGATGGGTTTGCTGGTCTGGATCAGTACCACACACATAATTTTTAGGTGTGTGATATATGTCAAAGAAATGTCCTATTTCCTGGCAGAACATTTTACAGGCACAGAATAATCGCTGGTCTTCATTTTTAATGTAACTGGTTGTAAAGTTGGAGCTGAATGGTGTATAGTTTCACTATTGTGGCAAATGCTTAATCCAAGACTTGGCATATTATCATCTTGACATGGTGCTGCCATCTTGTGTTTCTACTAAGTATAACATGGCAAAAAAAATGTATCTATATTTATATAGAGAGAGATCAATATGTCTATAATGTTGCACAAAAGGAATTGGTGTAATTTTATACCGTTGGATTTCTTTTCTGTTTCAGGATTTAATGTTTCTGTCCTACTAATTTTAAGTTTCATGAAGCCCAATACCAGAGTTACATGTACTATTCACGTAGTATTGGAGTCCTTTTTAAATAAACGACAACAGCATTTTGGTTTCTTGAAACAAGCCATACATTTATTTAATTAAGGAATCTGGTTCTTTAAAGTCCCACCTGAGTGAAAACCTGATTAAAAAGGATAAATCAACAGGGGCGGATTTATGCTTCATGTGGTGTGTACTCCAAACTGTGAAGGCTCTTGTGGAGATTATAGACAGAGGAAAAACATCTTTCATTTCAATCATCCTTCCTGCTCTTTTCCACTTTACACCTCTCACGCTTCTGGCAAAAAGTAGCAACACTATATATAGTAGTTACACTATAAACTGCCTAGGCATGAGAAAATCAAATAAAAGTACCCGCCTGGAATTTTAAATTAAATCACAATGGGGCCATGATTACATTTCTAAGAGATAATATAACATTTTCTCTCATCTCTATATAAAAAAATTAAATGACTTCATGTTATAAATCTGTTGCTTATCACCACACTGGGCTACAGTGTTAGATTATAAGGGTTTTAATGGCATCTTTCCAAGGTAGTTGTGATGTTTGGTCTTAATTTGAACCTATGAAAGAGTATTCTCTGCTGCTGTCGTTTAATAGCAGTTATAATTGTAAATGTTTACCAATTATCATTACTTAAACAACACTAGTCAAGAGGTATGAGGAACGATTTGCTAATATAACTGTGGTAAACACATAGCATACAAAGCTGCATTCAGTAAAGCTGCCTTATTTAATGATAACGCCTTCTCAGAGGCTACCATTTACAGTGCCAGTTGAAACAGAAGTATGTGTCTGCACTGCATGTTGCCTGACTTCTTGTTTTTGGGCTGTTTCCATGTTCCAAGCATCCTCCTAGCACTCAACAATAAGTGAGGTCCAGCTTTTGGCTTGAAAGAACCCATTTT